TCGAGTTCTGTTTAGTCAATTCGTGTCTGTTTCGATTTTCAGTACCGGTTTCTCGTTCTTCTCCTTTGATTTTCAGCTTAGATATCTGAATTCGTTCTCTTGTTTGTGTATTTGATTTGTGTTTCAGTGGTCTAGTCTGGGGAAAACAGGGTTTTGATTGTAAATTTGTGGGCTTCCGTCACTGATTTCTGTTTCCGAGCTGATTTTAGTTCGGATCAGTGGATTTGATATTTTGAATTTTTGATCTTTGGATTCAGGTTTTCCATTTTTGCTTCTGTTTCAGCTGTGACCTCAATTAGGAATCATAATTGAGTTATTCGACTGTTCCTCAGCACGTTCTGGGGTGTGGCTTTGCGTTTTATGTGCATTTCCTTTATCCTCGTCTGACTCAGGTATTTGTTGTTTTGATAAATTCCATTTTTGCTTCTATCATTGAGTGGATTTTCGCTAATGTAGCAACAAGTTTACGTTTTTATTAAAGTAGCCATAGTTTTGTTTGTCAATCTATGGATTACTAATGATGGGTGTACTTGTGCTTGCAGTTATTGATGTGAATTATAGTACAATAAATACAGTGTGCTTTGCTTTTAATGACTTGAATTCACGTCTTTGGGAATGGGATTTTTTTTTTTTTTTTGAATTATGTATAGACTATAGCTGATTTGTTGGTTTTTGGATTCCAGATTTGGCATAGGATTTAATTAGAAGATGGCAATCTTTTCACTGTTTCTTCGTTTCAGGTTTTGGGTTATGTGCATTCATTCAATAATGGAAGGTCCTGTGTACTTGCATTTGATTGGCAATTATTGATTTTGTTTTCTGGATTTTAACCACTGTAGATGAGCCATTCATTTCTTTAACTTGTTTTTTGCTTCAACATGAACTTTGATGTGTCTTTCTTTATCAATTTATCCCTGAAGCTTCTGTTTCCTTTCCTTTATAGGTTATGAATTTCAATGTGCTTTGGAAGATTCTAATTCAACAAATCAAAGCAATATTTGAATAAAGCTGTGCCCTGTTTACTCCCATTCTTGTTGGCCACATTCCACCAACACAAAGAGTGTGTATAGGACCATAACCAACGAGTGGGGGGTGAAGTGCATATACAAAAACGCGGATCTGAAAAGGCACAGCCTTTCTGTTCACATCCATTTTAGTTTGCTCCTCCTCTCTCGTCTGGTTCAGGTATTCACCCTACTGTTTTAATGGTTATCAGCTGGCAGTACGGGTTGATGTGTGATTAGAGAGAAATGAGTCACACAACCAATGAGAGTGAAGATGGAATGGTCTCCAAGGATCAAACTGAGTCACCACCGAATGATGACCGTAACTTTGGAGGAAGTGCAGGTGGAGGAGTTGTTCTGAAGAAAGGCCCGTGGACATCTGCTGAAGATGAAATTTTGATCGATTATGTGAAGAAGCATGGAGAGGGCAACTGGAATGCTGTGCAGAAGCACTCAGGGCTCTTTCGATGTGGCAAAAGCTGCCGATTACGTTGGGCAAATCACCTGAGACCAAACTTGAAGAAAGGGGCATTTACTCCAGAAGAAGAGCAGCTAATCATCGAACTACATGCAAAGATGGGGAACAAATGGGCTAGAATGGCTGCACATGTAAGTGTCTGGTTCATTTACCATGAATATGTTGCCATGGTCTCTTAACAGTTTGAATTCAAACACTTCTTCTGTGCTGTGATTGACTTATTGAACTTAGAATTTGCACTGATTTTGTTCCCACTGGAAGACTAAATTTTGGAATAGCCTGATTTATAACGTCAAAATGAAGTTGCTAGGTCATTTTAGATGAATCCTGTTAGCTAAGGTTCTCTGCTTTTTGCTTGCCTGGCTTAGTACCACTATCACCATGACTAATGTTAGGCTGAAAGATATGTTTTCTGTTGCCTTGCAGTTGCCTGGTCGTACAGATAACGAGATAAAGAATTACTGGAATACCCGTATTAAGAGACGTCAGCGTGCTGGGTTACCACTTTATCCTCCTGAGGTGTGTTTGAAAGCATTGCAAGAGAGCCAAAACAGTAGTGCAATTAATGGAGGGGACAAAATACCTCATGATCTTTTGCAAGCCAGCAATTTCGAGATACCTGATGTCATATTTGACGGTTTGAAGGTCAATCAGAATGTCCTAAGTTATGTCCCTGAGCTTCCTGCTATTCCTTCTAGCAGTATGCTGGTGAAAGGTCTAGGTTCTTCCCAATATTTCAGTTTCATGCCACCAGAGATGCATTGCCAGAAGCGTCTTCGAGACTCAGCAGCCTTGTTTTCTGGTTTCAGTGGCAGCATTGAACATGACTGCCCATTTGAACAATTTCAGGATGACACTTCTAACAAGGTTGCTCAGTCCTTTGGTTTATCTTTTCCAGTTGATCCTGATCACACAACTACAAATTCACATTGTTTTGGTGTGCTTCCGGGTAGCCATACCCTTTCAAATGGCAATTACTCTGCTTCAGAGTCCCCTTTAGGGGCTGTGAAGTTGGAGCTCCCTTCACTCCAATATCCAGAACCTGAATTAGGTAGCTGGGTCACCTCACCTTCACCATCATCTCTTCTTGAGAATGTTGATGCTTTTATCCAGTCACCACCACCAACCGGAAGGGTTGAATCTGATTATCTTTCACCACGGAATAGTGGCCTGCTGGATGCTTTACTTAATGAGGCAAAAATTCTAAGCAGTGCAAAGAATCATTCATGTGACAAGAGTTCAAGTTCATCAATTCCTGGTGATAGAGCTGAGAGTTCTGCCCTTAATATTTGCAAGACAGAATGGGAAAACTATGCAGATTCCCTTTCTCCAATGGGTCATTCAACAACTTCTTTTTTCAATGAATGTACTCCTATTAGTGCAAGTGGAAGCTCATTGGATGAACCATCTGCTGACAACATTGCCGGTGAGAACCTCTATTATGATGACCATTCTTTTTTCTTTTCTTTTCTTTTCTTTTTTTTTAATATCCTTTCAAGCATCGTTAAGCAATCTAAAAACCTTAATCTCAAAGCCTGATTTCTGTTCTGAAATTGCAAGGCTCTTCTAGTTATTTATAATTTTGTTAGAATTTTCAAATGGTTCCCTATTCTAGTCCTCTAGCACTAGTTCTAAGAAATTCTGGTAATAAGAAAACACCTTGTATTTCTCTTTGTCATGCGGTGTCTTTTTTTATTCTTGAATATCTTATTCTGTGGATTGTTGATTGTTTTTCTCCTAGCACCATCATTCCAAGTTACTCAAAAGTAGGTAGAATCCTGCATAGAATTCATCACTTTTTTGTATCTGTGTTTCTTACCTTGTATTGTCGATTGCTTTGCAGGAAGCAAAGTGAAATTAGAACCAACTGAACATGTTTGGACCTCAGAGGTGCAGAAGGATACTCTAGCACAATTGGATTATCATTGCCCCGATACCTTGTTCGGCTCAAGTTGGCTTCAGCATGGTTCTGGTTATGGCAAGGACCAAGCCATCATGACTGATGCCATAGCAACCCTTCTTGGTGCAGATTACGGTAGCGAGTACAAGACCATTTCTCCTAGAACGTCTTCAAGTCAAGAATGGGGGCTTGGTTCCTGTGCATGGAATATCATGCCTGGCGTCTGCCAAATGTCTGAACTCCCTTGAGATCTTCTATTTTAATTGTGTACGAACTCCTTTGGAACTTTTCTTGCTTTCTTTTTTCTTTTATGATTGGTTTGACTTGAGTAGTCATGCATGATTATCGTTTGGGATTAGAGTGTAATACAATATGAGTCATGGCCTTTTTGTCTGCTTTTGAAACTGGTGAATGCATGCATACCTATATGGAGTTGCATGTGGTTTCAGGCTGTGTTATAATTTTAGAATAACTACGAACTTCATGCATGTCATGCTGATTCAGTGATTATGCTCATTTCGATTAACTTTATCTGCCATTTTAGATATCAAAAGTTTACTTCCTGCGTTGCGGCATCTTTTGATTTGGCATCCATTTTATCATCTCTTTAGTATTTACAATTCTCCCTAGAGAGGTATCAACGTGTGTTGAAATTTGAGTATATATATGAAGTGTTCTTTTATATATAAATATATATGTATATGTATGTATGTATGAGGTTTAAACTAACAGTAATCAAAACATATAAAATAATCTAGAGTCATCACAATCATGAAAAATAGAGGACTAAAAAAGAGCTTAAAAAATATACATCAGTTTTTTCTTAAAGATTAAAGGATGCAATAGCAGACATAGTTTTCTGCTCCATGTTCTTGAAAATCCGGACAATGATAAACCCAGACATGGGAAGTAATTTTCTACAGTCAACTTGCAGGAACATAAAAATAAAAGAATGAACAACAGAAGGAAATTAAATAGAGTTCTCACCTTTTTGGCCTTTCCCATTTATTTTGATGTAGTCTCAGCACAATATCTCCCTCCAAGCCATCGTTTCTCCTAAATGATCCTAATACTGCATATGGCACTCACTAACAACATTAATTAGAACCAAAATGAGAAAACCAGTCATCAATTACAAAGTAACGGCAAAAAATAATGGAACAGAGAATGATCAATAGACAATCTAAAAGCAAATCCAAGAAAAGAAAACAACTTGAAAAGGCAGATTTTGCTTTTAACCCAACATATCGACCCCACACCATAAGGGGGTGGATAGATAATCTGTAAACTATAATTTTTTACAAAATTTACGTAGAGCAGCATAAAAATAACTAATATAGCAATAATTCACAAAATCAATTGAGAAAGATGTGTAGAAGTAAAGGAAGACAATTTTAAAATGTTATTCTAATATATTTAGCTATAAATGGGTTGTTGAAGGAATCGAGAACAGAGAACTTTATAAGGGCAAGACAGCAGGCCGTGAAAGTGCTGGATAAAC